GTTACAAAATTTGGTGTTTCTCTTAAAATACTCATTCATTTTCATTGAAATAAATTGTTTTTGAAAGCTAACCTTCGGAGGAAGATTTTTATATAAAAATGAACATGAGACCATTTTTCTATAATTTTCTAAAGTTCTCTATTTTAATAGGTTCTTTGCAGTAACTATTTAGAAAAATAAAAGGAGTTATAAAAACACATCTATGGCCTTAGCCAAAATTCTTACATACTCTATATATGTCAATTAATACCCCTTTAAAACAAAGTTTGAGTTGGTGAAGGTTTTCTATGAAAATAAAATAAAAAACCTTGAGAAAAGCTTGCTTGAAATTACAAGGAAGAAGAAGAACATTTCATTTTCAAACCATACATCATCTAACAAATATAGTAACTCTTAGTATCATATGAAATACATTTTTAGCATGTATTATGAAGGGGAAAACATGATGATTCATTGAGAGAAGAGGTATATGAGATTTACCTTAGTTGCTTAGAGTTTTCTTCCTACTTTCCTTCTTTCTTTTTTTTTTTCTTCCTGTTTCTCGCAAATTTACAAGCTCTCTCTCTCTCTCTCTCTCTCTTTTTCCAGCAGGTTGCTATGTGTGTGAAGTGTAAGGAATATAAGTTGCTAGAGCCTTGTATTTATAAGCCAAGGAAGAGAGAGAAAATGGTTGAATGACTTGGTTGAATTTCAATGGAATTGATCTAGTTGGGTTAGTTTGTAATTGGATCCAATTAGGATTAGTCTTAATTAATCTTGATTAAGAAAAAGTAATCTTATTTATTAGTTAACTAGGAGACAAGAGTACGTTGCAATAAATGCTAGTCATTTCCTTTTATTTATTCAAAGATATGCCAATATAAATTCAAGATATTATAAATAAAAAATTAATTTTCCTAGTCCCTTCTACTATTCACAGCTAGCTGGTCTTCTACACGTGGGAAATCAATTTTTTTTTTATATTATAATATAGTAGATATTATATACAATCAATATAAAAATAGTTACCTTATTTGATTAAAATATTGGGAATTTTGGGGCCAAAATGCAATAATAAAGAAGGAAAAGGGCTGAATCTGAAATTTTGAAATAAAACATATATCTATGTCATATATTTAATAAAATAAAGATAGGAAAAGTGATTTGGGTCACATGATGCCAATTCGCAACAAAAGGCGAGATACCGGGCTAAAACGGCGATTACCTGAAATTAGGATTTTTCTCTTATAAATTTTCATTCTAGGGTTTTTAAATTATTAATTTAGGGTTTTAAAATGTTTCCTAAGTTCTCAGAGTCGATTAGGGTTTGCCGGTTAGCTCGTGCAGTCATTCCTAATTTCTAGGATTTAATTTGCAAGGAATGGAGAAACAAGGTTTCTTATTGAAGTTCTTCAACTATAAGCGTTTGGGGACAATACAAAAAGTTAGGGCCTCACAAGTTAATTATAGCTCGATTGGTGAGCTTGGGCTACTGTTCTGGTTTCTGTTCAATTTCAAAGTGAGAGACTGGGATGCTTCCTTGGTTCTTGGCTAGGATCGCGGTTTCAACTCGGTTCTCCCTAGCCATAAATTGGTTAGGAATTAGATGGGCATTAGCCCGGTTCATTCTAAAAAAGACTACAAACATGAAGTTTGCTAGTCTAGTGTTGATTTTGGATCAATTATTTAGGTCTCCATTCGGTTTAGCCCAGGTTTTTGGGCTTTCATCTCAGTGAGTCAAATGACGCGCTAAGTGACTGCAAACTTAGGCCTCGTTTGAGAACAGGCTAATTTAGTAACTTTTTGGCTATTTGGCTAAAAAGGTAGGTAAAAAAAACTTGTATGTTTGGGATGACTTTTTGGCTAATTACGAAAAGATGTGCAAAAAGTAGAGAGAAAAGAGAATCTTTGACTTTTTGGTATGAATTGTTGGTTTTTTGGCTAATTTAGTAACTTTTTGACTAATTGGCTAAGGGGGCCTTAGGGTCATTTTGACTCTTAACTTAGATCTAGGCCCCATTTGCACAGATTTAGGTACAGACTAACATTGTGGCAGTGTAAAAAATGCGCGATTAACAGTGTAGTGCATGGGAAATACGAAGAACATTCAAGAGGAATTAGGGAGATTTAGAGAACATACAGGGTTATGGTGCAGAGCTTCGATCTGATCGGAGAGAAAGCCCTAGCAGAGGTTGGCGAATCAATCAATGCAAGGGAAACAACCTGATGCTCGAGAAAAGATGACAATGGCGGTGTTGGAAGCTCTTGGACCTAGAGTTTGGCTTCAGAGAAGATGAATAGGTGACCTATGAAGTGTGTATGGCGTATACACAGGTGAGAGCCAAATAGACGCCAACATTTCGAATTTTAGGACGTCGTGTTGACGGCTGGGGGGTTGCACAGAGCCACTGGTGAAATGCCACGTGCCACAGACTTGGTTGGTTGTCAACATGACTGATTAAAGGGATAGCCACGTAGTGGTGCAAGCTTCGAGGACCAACCAAAAAGTTAGCTCGGCTAGAAAAAGTAATCCTAGTCACGTTGAGGCAAACGGAATTAAGGGGTAATTGAGAGAGGAATTTGTGCCAAATAATGGTCGAGCTAAACCAACACGAACCTAGTGTTGGGCCAAGCTAAAACAGCATGGAATGCAATGTTGGGTTGAGATAAACCAACACGGAATGTGGTGTTGGGCCGAGATAAACTAACACGGACATAGTGTTCAGCTGAGCTAAGCAAAATGGGACATGGTGTTGGGCTGACCTAGACCTTTGCGGTCTTCGACATCGTGCTGAAGTGAGCCCTGCTAGGGCTGCTAGAGTGTGCTGAGCTCGGTGTGGTACGCACTGCAAGCGAGGACCAAGTAAAATGAAGACGGGCTGCGGTCTTTGGCTGAGATGGTGACCAACTTGCCGAAGAGATCGATTGGCCCCTGACTGAGCTTGGAGTTGGCTTGGAAGCCGACTTGATTTAGCTCAGCATAAGACTGTCCTAAGTTAGCATTCTGGAGACACCACAAGTGACTGCTCAGTTGATGTACTCGATGTGGTCCAATGACATAATGAAAAGGAATCAACTTTAGGCACACATCAATATTGTTTGGCAGTTTGGCAATATTGGCGTGTACACGCGTAAAAAAAAGAGAGAGCAGTACAACCACGCATCCAACAAAAGACAATAGAGGTACTGCATGCACAATCTGGGTTTGCATGGTCAGCCTAGATAAAAGGTGCGAACAAGCTTTGGAAAAGGTAAGCAAACTTTGGCAACTCTATGTCTCTCTCTCTCTAGCTTCCCTTCTTCCTCTCTAAGAAAGCTAACTTGACCATCAGAGGTTTCCGACAAACCACCCACGGGGTAGCTTATTCTTGTCCTGTCCACAGTGAACCAGAGACGTTCAAACCGAGATGAGCTTGATAGCAAGGCATACGGAAAGCGACAGATATTTCTCCCCCGTACACTTACAATCTGACTTCAGCTGAATGTGTGCAATATGGTGTCATTGAATTTATTAATATAATGATGAGATGATCATCATCATCATCATCCTTATCTTCTATTAATGCTCCATTCTCTTGCTCTCTCTCTTTCAAATTGTGGTCTGAGTCAATTTTATCTTCCTATGTTCAGATAGCATATGGTCCCGATTTGCATGAGACAACACTAGAAGAGCCCAATTTCTTCCTTGAAATAATTTTTTTATTTGTTTTAAAAGACAAACAAAAAAAAGAACTAGAATCCATAAATATAGTGAAAAAACATTACATGAATCATCCTAATTCAAACCAGATAACAACCCTTGATATAACAGCTAGATACTTTATTTTAATTTTACCTTTTTTCCCTTGTTTAAGAATTTTTATTTATGTATTGAAGCTTTCAAAATTCTTGTTTGATTAATGGAGTGAAACAATTCCTGCAGAAGTTAAGTTAGCATGCCAACTACTATTTCTCCACACAATCATTGATATTTTGCCAAATATAAATTGCAGGCAGTAGAGAGCTCCTTCCAGCACCTCTGGATCGGATCAAAACTTTGGCGAGCAAGCGCTAAGCCCCGCCTTAGGCTGGCATTGAGCAGTACGATACCCCATCTCCTTATAATAGCAAAACTCAACAAGGCTCGATGTGAAGGTGCAATGGGGATACAATACTGCTAAGAACACATAATAAGTCACAGCAAGTATAATGTAAGGCTGAAATTAAATTTAATTATAGAGAAGTCCATATTCAGAACAAATCTCAATCAACCATTATACTTTCGGTAACCCATTTTGTATTTTACTTCTGTATTCTTAGCATGTGTATTTTAATTCTGTATTTTTAGAATTAGTGACGAGGATACTTAGCAAGAAGATATCCCAAGAGCTGGATGTTTTTAATCTCATTGGTAAGCTTGCACATACAACATGCATAAACAAATGGCTCAATTTCACTATTATCTCTTAAATTATTATCATTTTTTTAATTCGTTCTTAAACTATCAATTTCACCTGTTAGTTCTTTGATTTCAATTCATATGATCCAATAAAAAATAATCTGTCCAAATCAATAATGGTAGAAACCTAACCTAATGGGGAAAAAAATAATTTTATAATTTGAAAACCCTAAATCATGTAACCAAACACCCATCTTCATACTTGCACTATATTACATAAATCACACCCATCTTTCTTCTCCAACCCTTATTTTCAAAATAGTGAACCAAAAAAATGAATGGTGGGTTGTATGGTTTAAGTTGTTCAAATACTAAACAAAGGCTTTAACAGCTAATGATTTGGACAACTATCTTCAATTGGACCATTAGCTAATATCAGAAATTTTGGTGACTAAATTGATGAAATTAATAATTTAGAGAAGGAATAGAAAAAAAATGGTAATGGTTTAGGAAATCGACGTAAAATTAACCCAAAGCAATTAATTGCATACATTTGTTGGGTTCAGCCACAACCAAAAGCAGGTCAAGAGTTTGCACCCATTTCAGAGAAGAGCTATAATTACAAGCAAGAAAAAGCAAGGCATTGTACAGTCAACCCAAATTTAAAAGCATACCTGCACTGGCATAGGAATATGCACAACATTACACGAAAATATAGATGTTCATAAGGTTTTAAGCTTCTTAAATGCATGTCCTCCTCATTTCTAGGCTAATATTGTTGGAAAAAATCCAAAACAAGAGATAATTCACACAGAATCAACGGTTAATATATATAGAAACCTAATAGTCCATCCCAGACTGACTCAAGGAATTGCACCAAGGTTGTGGTGGTCATTTGGTTGGCCCTCTGTCTTTGAAGGTACATTATAGATGTTCTTGAGTATGTCCTGCATTTTACAATACATCATCATCTGCGATGTTTCGTTTCCTCCAGCACTGCTCTGTGATGCTCGTGAACTCTCTTGAAGCTTAATCTTCTCAAATAGATACTGTTTCTCAGCTTCAGCCTCGTTCAAACGCTGTTTAAGATATCTACTAGCATAATCTTCCTCTGACTTCTCTGCTTTGGCAAGTGCAATCCTTTGAAGCCTCTCAGCTTCTCGCCTAGCCTCACTGGCCTTGACATCAAACATATCAGCCTCGGCCTGTTTAAGCCTCACGATGCTTTCAAGCTCGTCAATTTGTTGTTTCTTTCTCTGCCTCTCCATCTTTAGAGCTGCCACTTCCCTACCTTTGTCCTTGAGCTCTTGATCACAAGCCTCAACAGCCAGGCGAGCTTTCTTTACCATACGCATCTTCTCCTCTGCCACCATTTCCATTTTTTTGATTGCTTCCTGCACAACATTGGCAATCCTGTTGAATGCCTCCTGTGGGGCTATTAGCTGACCACCTTCCTCACTTTCAGAATTCTTCGAGGGGTCCACCTCAAGCTCTGTACAAACCAGGGAAAAAAAATTACAGAATGAATTGAAGAAAGAGAACTTTGCTCATTCAATAAGCATAATTCTCTGTTTCAGCTATAATATAGTGTGTTAGAAACCCAGCCAGCACCAATCCATGTTGATCTGGGTTTCATCCATATCTCTTTCTTAAGGCTTTTAGTTCTCTCACATGCTTATACTAGAATATGAAATTCAAATGGTTATATTCCCTTCCTTTCTTTATTCCTTAACTGCCAAATAGGATAAGAATCCATAAGAAGTATATGATAACTAAATTCTAGAACAAATATGATCCATGGTCCTCAAGAGTTCTGAATGGAGGGAAACATATATTGTAGATTTCCACAATATCAACAGTAAGTGCAAAAGCATCCTAGCAAGTTCAAGGGTAACTATACAGCAGGTGTTATGAAGCACATCATAAATTCTCCAACCAACCTAATATCAAGCAATTCAGATGACATGGCCACACGTATGTCCCAGGGAAGGCGCTGGTTTAAGGGTCAAACAGTTAAAAAAAAGTCCGCAAGAAATTATAGTACTTGGAAAAATTTAGCATTAGTCTAATTCAATTTAACTAAAAAGATAAATTTAAATGATATATTGTTACAAACATGATTAGATTGCTATTAAAACTCAGCATTAGTTATATGGCTATCAAGAAATTCAAAAAAAGGGGAGAGAAGAGAAGTACAAACATATGCTAATGAGTTCAATCACACAAATCTGCTACAAAGTATCAATAATTACTCCATACCAAAAAAATTGCACAACGAAGAATGTGCTATCACGCATCCTATGTATGTTACAATGTGTGGGAGAAGAAGAAGAAGAAGACGGGGACGCCATTCTTCCACTCCCCACCAGACAAGCAGGCGAGAACACCATCAGGGGAAGGACAGAAAAATCACATAAAGAAAGGCACTCTTTCAATCCCCGGCATATATTGTTCTCCTCCCAACTCCAACATATATATGACAGTCATTAGTGCCGTTTAAAGTCAGATGAACATAAAAGATTAACAGCTTAAGATGATCATAAAAGATTAACAGCTTGGTCATCATAGGAAAGGCCCATCCACAACAACTTAACCGTGAGTCCATTTGTATACTTATATTTGTTTGGGCCGATAAAAAAAAGTTATTTCTGTTTGGCCTTCACTCTAAGTCCTTAATATGCATCACAAAAACAATCTCATGCTAATCTGTCACTATTGGAAATCTGTAGACCTACTCCGTAAATTATTAATACTGCAGAAATTTTATGCTATCTACACATGGCTCACAAAATGGAGTCACAAAGTTGATTAATTTAGAACATGATGGAACCATACTAAAAGAAACTAAAATATATGCATTCAAAGCAATTGAAACAAGTGATGAAGAAAGAAAGCCTAAAGCCAAGCAATTTCTCTGCCTTTGTGGGGATTATTATCAACAAGAAGAACCGATTAATTTGTCTCAGATCCATTAATTGCAATTGATATTTAAACATGTATGCAATTAAGTTTCCACTTGGCTCGCTATGATTTTCCATTTCTGTTAAGATTACCAAAGAAATGAGTACATCTAACAAAATGTTTTCATAATCATACCTTGAAAGAACAGCAATATTACTTTACAAGCCACAGCAGGTTCCGCCATCCCGCCTTTCAGTTTGTCTATGAGTTCGTCACACTTCCAGACCAGTTTTCTCCCTCGTGGATCCTCACTCCCACGGAAAATTCTACTCACATAATCAAGTTCTCTTATCAGTGCTTCCCGATCCCAGCTTGGTGCACATTGTTGGAACACATCTTTGACCCAACCCAATAACTCGGATGTCCTATTGCAAGCTCGGCACCCGAAAAGCATATCTGCTGGAACTGAACCCGTCTTAACACCAGGGCCCGGGCCAATCAGTCCATTACGGATAGCACAATCTGTGTGCGTCCAATGAGAACATGAATCACAACCAATCCATCGGCATGTGTTCACTTCAAAATCAAACTTGTTACAGATCACACACATGCAAAGGTTGCAGAAACCATTCCTCATAGAGCAAGCTTCACAGTTACAGTCCTCTGCTGGAAGGGGACTCCCACAGGCAATGTTTCTACACCTTTTGTAGAGGAAAACCTCAATGAGAGAAGCTTGAGAGAGACTGACACTTGGATGCAAAAACGCCTGAATCCCAGTCTTGATCGCGACAAGAATTTCTAGCTGGACCCTGTGTGCCCTAATCAATGTCTTATCAGTCAAATCACTCCTACTCTGAACCAGCTTCTGCAGAGAGAGAAATTCGTCTCTATGTAGAGAACCACCTGTTCCTTCAAGAATAACCCGAATTTCAGTCTTAAGCTTTTCTTGTGTTTTTGCTTGTGAGTGTCCCCTGGTGTGCCCAAGATCCGCAACAGTTCCTTCAAGAATAACCCGAATTTCAGTCTTAAGCTTTTCGAGAAACTCGTCTGGAAGATCCTGCATTCGTTCGGATATTATATCCACTCTTTCTCTGACCACATCTCTGAGAGACATCTTATCTGAGCTCGAAATATGGCGGATGACAGAATGTTCAGCAAAACCATTCTCCCCTTCCTTCTCTTTCTCCAGTTTTTTTGCAATCAACGCATCAGCGGTAGGCCAGGTTTCACGGGAGCTAGCACTTTCTGAAGGAGATTCACGGACTTGGTCTGAGTTTGAACCACGCTCTTGAAGATTGGGAGACCCACAAGCATCTGGTGAAACCAGGGATAGGGATGTCTGCAGTCCTCGTGGCTGTTGACGAGGAGGCAGCATTTTTGGTGAAGGTTGCTGATGGAAATGAGATCCAGATGACGTTCCCATCAAACACTGTGAATGTTAATTCTGACAGTAAGGTAAACAATGTTCACTCTATTATCCAAAGCGCTTAACAAGATCAGTCACTAATTCACTTGTGTATCTAAAGAAAAATAAAAATAAAAATACACACTAATTGGAAAAGGTAAATTGAGACCACTGGCTAAACATACTTCCTTAATCAAGAACAGATATTATCCCCCAACAAAATTAAATATCCAACAGGATGATTATAAAATTCAGTAAAATACAATTGGCAAAGACCTATCCCTAAGTTTCAAATGTAATTTTGTATTTCTTTTTTGAATTGTATTCAAACCAGGAGAATCAAACTTAAAACATATTATTCTAAAGCACTGTTTCCAAAAGCAAAAAAATTTAAACTTTCTCATCATTCAGATGCATTCTTTAATAACCAAGAAAAGCAGGCACTTGTGTTTTCAGCCACCCACGGTAGTACTAAAACCTCATGATTTTGCTTTAAAATACCAAAATATAAATAAATGCTTCAATTAAGAAGCTTAATACAAATTTAAAAATAATAGTTTAGCATGAAATAGTTTCGAAATCACACTCAAATGGGTTTCATGAAATCCAGGACACACATTTTTACAATCTAATTCTTGTTTATATAAATCTAATGAACACCCTTCCCCCCCCCCACCCCCCCCCCCCCCAATAAATAAATAAATAAATAAAAATTTTAGACTTTTAGCATGTAGATGAGCACACACGTCCTTGGAAAGCACAAAATCAGCAACCCAACTAGGATCATGGTTACAATAACAGCAGTCACAAAATTAAAAGATTATTAATTTGATTTATATATATATATATATATATACATATCCAACTAGTTAAAGAAGAACCAAGGTTGGACATTTTCTAATCGATATGACAGCTAAAACAGCAGATCAAACTAACAAACCCAGAAGAAAAAAGCTTCAAATTCACAACCAAGGCAATCAATTGAATTGAACAGCAAAACATAAGATAGAATTAGAAAGAACAAAGAAGAAATTCACTAAGACCTAGGGTTAGTTTAGCTGTGCGAGATAGATCACTCACCAGAAATTCTTCAATAGATGAAAGAAATCAAGAGAGAGAAAGAGACCAACGACGAGACTTGAAATCTTTGATTATTGGGATTTTGCCCTCTTCTGTGAAAACACAACAAAACCCTAGTTCACCCAATTCATGAACTATTATTATTATTAAGCACAAAGAAAAAGAAAAAGAAAAAGAAAAAGAAAAATAGCCGTTTTTCAGTGTAGATAGAAAGAAGCTGTTGATGAAACGGCGAAGAAAAGACCAAATTGACGAGAAAGTTGTGTCACCGGATTGGCCGGTCACCTAACCGGTCGGCCCCTTCCCTCACAAACGTTAATTTTCTTTTCCCGCGTGGTTGACTTTTGTTAATTTACTGTGTCACATGTTTTCGTAGTAAAAAAATTACAGTATTTTGTATTTATGGGACAAATTGAGATGGTGTTAACTTGATTTTTATTGTTTGAAATATTGAAAATCATTCAGTTGGTTTGGTTTCAGTTTTTAGAAAATAATTTATAAAAAAATTTATTTTTTATTTTTCATATTTTAATGTTTTTAATGAATTTTTTTAATATTTTAAATAATTTTTTTTAAAATTTTTAGACATCTAACATAAATACACTTAAAAGTATAATATTTGTAAAAAAAATCTTTAGAAAATACACTAAATATCAAAAAATAAAAAAATATGAAAATTTAGTATATTTTTCATATTTTTGTGTATTTATTAATTTTTTAAAATATTGTTTTCCAAAAATTTTACTATTTAAATACATCTTAAGTAAGATACATCTAAAAAAGTAAAAAAAAAAAAATTTACTTAAAATTTAAAAAATATTCACTACAAATAAAAAAAACACAAAAAAAAAAATTCAATTTTTAAAAACTGAATTCAGAAAATTGAAACTAAATTTTTTAAAGAATATAACTAGATAAATGTTCTGTTAACGAATGGTGCTAAACAATGTTTTGAGTAGGGACAAACCTAAAAATATACTCTCCCTTCTAAAATAATAGTATATTTTGAAGAATCTAATTTTTTTGTAGTACAATTATTACATTTTAAAAATATTTATTTTTTTAAATTACCCTTTGATAGTATATATATATATTTTTTTTGAGAATATCAATTGTCATAATTGTACTTTTTGTATTGTTAATGAATTTAAAACAAAGGTAAAATAAAAAATTCATATTATTTTGATTCTTAATTTTTGAAAATAGACTAATATTTTGAAATCATAAAAAATAGAATAAGAAATTAATATTTTAAAACGAAAAGGAGTAACAAAGAAAGCATGAATATAAACACTAAAATTTGTTTTTTAAAAAAATATATCAATTACAGTATCAATTTTTGTTGTCATTAAAAATGAAAAATATCACCATATATATATATATATATATATTAGGGGTGAGCAGCGGATATATCGATCCGCCTAAATCGATCCGTAGCATTTTGGACAGATGTATGATGACGAGCAGACAATTGCGGATTGATTTTTTCCAATCTGCCTAATTTTGAACGGATGACGGATTTGAGGTTCCTTTGGCCACAACCGAACCGCCAAATTGTGAGCATCCCTAATAATTTGCAAAACTTTGTATTTTCAATTTAGTTCAATATTCTATTTGTGTGGGAGCCGAATATCTTTTTATGTATAAAAGCCAAAAGAATTTGAAGAAAATCAGGATATAGGTTATTCGGCTCCGCCCAGGGGAATCATCGAGCCGAATAGATAAATCGGCCATAGTACCAATTAAACAAACAGTTGAGTGGGAATTGGCGTACAACAGAAGGGTCGAATGAGCAATCATGCGATAGACTAAGAGTGGGCCTGACCTTAGGGCCCAGAAGCGAATATAAATAGAGGAACATCAATCAAAAAGAGGTATGTGAGAACAGACTCAAGAAACTTAAGACACAAGCAAACGAGACATATACTAACTTATCCGTCGGAGTACTAATTCCAGCACCCCTGACCGGAGTGTTAATCCCTTTTTCAGGTAGCAATCAGAGGATCAAGAACGTCCTTCAGGATCCAAGAGTATTTCCAAACCACATCACCACAATTGGCACCGTTTGTGGGAATACTCAAGCATATCCATGGCGAGCGTCACAAAAGATCCTCCGATAGTCGCTGACGAAACTGCACCAAGAGACGACTTCACTCCAAGAAACATGCTTGGACTGAAGAATATCGCCGTACGACGAACCTTGAACTTCGACTTAGTAGCTTAGACCTCACCCTCAACCTCAATGCATGAGACGGTACAAATGATTATGGATCAAGCAAAGCAAAGTGAACAGCGGCTGGAGAACATGATGGCTAAGAATGAGCGCCTGTGCCAGGATTTGGCCTTGGAGGTGGCGAAATCCCAACAAGCCGCATGCCAAGACCAGGGTCGACCTTCGAGAAAGAAAGATGGTCAATGACGTCAACTTCAGAAACGCAATAATGACAGTGATTCTGACTCACCATCCCCGAAACCCAGAAAGAAAGGACGAGTTGATGTATCCAGCTCATCTGAAGGAAGTCCGTATGTACAGCATAAACGAGGGAGAAACGATGACTCGGATGAGGAAGATAAGCATGACCCTTTTGTGCGACAAATTGCAAGGGCTGTACTATCCAAGAAGTCCAAAGCACTGTCGTTCACCTCTACAACGGAAAATCGAACCTTACCAATCATATTCGCCATTATAAGCAAGCAATGACACTTCACACTGACAACAAAGCCCTCATGTGTCGAATATTGCCAAGGAGTCTGGGATCGCTGGTCGTCAGGTGGTATTATAAACTGGAGCCGGCATCAATTAAGAGTTTACATCCAGAAATCCTTCAGGGCTAGATTCATCACTAATGAGATCCAGCCAAAGCAAGCCGATTCCCTCTGGGCGATACAAATTAAAACAAGTGAAACCCTTCGTGAATATTTGGCGCGTTATTGGGAATGCTTCAATCTGGTAGATGATGCCTGCAATGACTCCATGGCCATCACTGCCTTTAAGATGGGATTGCTTCCCGATAGTTCCTTCTGCAGTTCATTAACCAGACAGCCCCCTAAAACAGTCTGGGCGTTAATGAAAAAGGTCAAAGAATATTGCAAAGTGGAAAACGATGCCCTGCGGGTCAAAGCCGGACATAAAGTTGTTGAGACGACCACGTTGGGAATCGTTCAGCCGATTAGCGTCGTGCTATCCAGAAGCCCCGAGCCGCGGAATCGAGCTAAACGAGACAAAAGGCGTGACTCGCACCGATCAAACGATCAATGTTCACATCGAGCTAATGAACAATATCAAGTGGATAGCAGGCGCACAAGGTGCTCAGGCAAGAAATACACGAAGTTAACAAAGTCGATTAGTAAGATTTTGTCAAAAGTTCAACACCTTCCGTTCTTCAAGTGGCCGCCCAAAATGACGGGACCTCCCGATACAAAAAGACGGGATAAACAGTGTGAGTATCACAAAGACCACGGTCACGACATCGGTAGTTGTTATGCACTGAGGGATCACCTGGAGGAGTTGGTACAAGACGGTCATCTTACATAACACGTCTGAAAGAACAATCCAACAAATACAGTAGCTCTACGGCCGGACTTACCTCGTCTTGGTGTAATTCATATGATATACAGCTTGCCGACGTCATCTGAGGTACATACAATTTAGTTGGAGTCTAGCCCCCATAGCCGAGTCACACCAGCGAAATGGCCCGATGAAATTGGAAGGATTAGTTTCGATGATAGTGACTTAATTGGAGTAACTCACCTCCACACTGATCCCCTCGTCATCGAGCTACGTGTAAACAGGTTCACTATTGAGCGTATTCTCACTGATCAGGGCAGCACTTCGGAAATAATGTATTACAAAACTTTTTGTCAAACTTGGCTTCACTAACTCGGATCTATCTCCGGCTGATTACCCGTTATTTGACTTTAATGCTAACCCAGAGTATCCTTTGGACAAAATCACACTACCAGTTCGGGCAGGCACTAGATTAGTAGATGTAGAATTTCTAGTTGTCAAGCTTCCTTCGTCGTATAATCTCATCATGGGAAGAACTTGGTTGCATACCATGCAGGCCGTGCCAAGCACCTACCATCAACTACTTCGTTTTCCGACTGAGTACGGTATTGAACAAATTTGAGGTTATCAGAAGTTGGCACAAGCATGCTATTTTCTTGCCACAAAGAGACCAAAGGAGTTGGAAGTGCATTCAATTGAGGTACCGGATAGGGAGAGCCTCGAAGACATTGGGAAAACTCCAAGTGAAAAGGCAACCGAAGCCCTGGATCGGGTCGAAATTGACGGTAATCCTGATAAGTTCTTCATGATCAACGCTTCCCTAGATAAAGTTGAAAGGCAAGAGTTTGTATCCTTCTTACTCGGCAATATCGATGTGTTTGCATGGTCACCATACGAGATGCCAGGAGTGGATCCATCTGTGGCCCAGCATCGCTTAAACGTTGATCCGAAATGTAAGCCAATTATTCTGAGAAGTTGGCGGTTAGCCGCGGAGCATACTTCGGCCGTTGTTGAAAAGGTAGATCAGTTACTTCATGCCAGGGCAATTCGTGAAGTAACCTATCCTACATGGTTGTCCAATACTGTGGTCGTAAAGAAGAAGAATGGCTCTTGGCGTGTTTGTGTGGATTTCATGGACTTAAACAAAACTTGTCCCAATGACTGTTTTTCCCTGCCCAGAATAGACCAACTCGTAGATGCAACGGCACATCATCAACGCATGAGCTTCTTGGATGCCTACAGGGGCTATCATCAAATCGCCATGCATCTGGAGGATCAAGAAAAACCTACATTTCTCACTCCAAGAGGAACCTATTGCTACAAGATTATGCCTTTTGAGCTGAAGAATGCGGGGGCAACTTATCAAAGATTGGTGACTGCCATGTTCAAGGAACAACTCAGCTGTACCATAGAAGTATACATCGACGATATGGTGGTCAAATCTAAGGAAAAACACTCCCATCTAGCCGATTTGGCAGAGACATTCGGCATCCTATGAAAGTACAAGATGAAATTTAACGCCTCGAAGTGTGCATTTAGTATCAGATTCGGCAAATTCCTTGGCTACATCGTTAACCACCGCAGAATCGAAGCCAACCCGAGGCAAATAACAACAATTCTAGAGCTTGGCTCCCCTCGGTCAGTCAAAGAGGTTCAGAAGCTAATAGGAATGGCCACCGCACTCAACAGGTTTATTAGTCGTTCCACA